TATGTGACAAGTTTGGTTTGGACATACATATGTGGTGCATCATATGTGACATGATCGATTTAGACTTATGTGGTACATCATATGTGACTGAATTGATTCAGACTTATATGGTACATCATATGTGACAGGATCAATGTAGACTCATATGGTACATCATATGTGACACGATTGATTTGGACATACATATGTGGTACATCATATGTGACAGAATTGATTCAGACTTATATGGTACATCACATGTGACAGCTCAATGTAGACTCATATGGTACATCATATGTGACACGATTGATGTGTACATACATATGTGGTACATCATATGTGACAGAATTGATTCAGACTTATATGGTACATCATATGTGACAGGATCAATGTAGACTCATATGGTACATCATATGTGACAAGATTGATTTGGACATACATATGTGGTACATCATATGTGACAAGATTGATTTGGACATGCATATGTGGTACATCATATGTGACAAGATTGATTTGAACATACATATGTGGTGCATCATATGTGACAGAATTGATTTAGACTTATATGGTACATCATATGTGACAGGATCAATGTAGACTCATATGGTACATCATATGTGACACGATTGATGTGTACATACATATGTGGTACATCATATGTGACATGATCGATTTAGACTTATATGGTACATCATATGTGACAGATCAATGTAGACTCATATGGTACATCATATGTGACAGGATACACTTATTGTTAAACTTACATGGTACATATGTGACAAGCTCGATTTACACATATGGTGTATCATATGTAACAAGATCACCGTAGATCTTCACATAGTACATCACATGTGATCCATGTATCATATGAAACACCACACACAACAAAATCTAAACATACATGTGACACCATATAACAGAACCGATTTGGCCATCGACCTCACACAAAATGCAGAAAGCAAAGAAAAGAATTCGGGATCGAAAGCAATCCGGCCAGCAGCGTTCAGCTTGCGTCATGCAAAGATATAGATGTAACCAGCGTAAGAGAGTGGTGGAAGTTGGAGGACGTGGTGGTTGTCGATTTCGTATATATAACGCGACCGTTCGCGATTGTTCGTTGCGATTGAAATCACGCAAAGCTTTACTTAACGGCGAACTTGCGGATTTCGAGAGCACCGATATATTCCTCGCCCACCCCCTGTCTCCGTGACACCCCTCGTCGAGCCTTTAATAGCAGCCAGGATGTTCCTCGTAGTCCGAGAGCTTCTAATCGAAATTCTCGGCCGACCATTCGAGCCGGGAAACCTCTAATAATAATTTCCCGTGAAATATCGCTGCGTCGGGCTCGAAAAAATTGTTTTGTTCGGGAGGAGAATAAATCGACGCTTTTCTGTTCATTTGCCAAGGATTATTTTTCATAAATTTTGTCTGTGTTTAATATCGGTTGATGGAAATGCAGGATCTTGTTTAGATTATTTATAGGATGGAAGTTTGGGATTGGGTTTATTGAGAAATTATCTCTTTTTCATTGTTGCATTTTATTTTATTTTATTCTTAGTATTTTTTTATTTTAATGTGTTTTATATGTTCTGTGTCATTGTAGTACTATTTTACTATTTTATTATTATGCTGTTGCAGCATTGTACCATTATATCATTAAACTACTGCACCATTCTGTAGTATACATATATGTATACATATATACACATATGCATACTATCATACATACGTATATGAATATGTATATATACATACATACACATATGCATACCTTCATACATACGTTATGAATGTATATACATACATATATGCATACCTTCATACATACGTTATGAATGTATATACATACATATATGCATACCTTCATACATACGTTATGAATGTATATACATACATATATGCATACCTTCATACATACGTTATGAATGTATATACATACATATATGCATACCTTCATACATACGTTATGAATGTATATACATACATATATGCATACCTTCATACATACGTTATGAATGTATATACATACATATATGCATACCTTCATACATACGTTATGAATGTATATACATACATATATGCATACCTTCATACATACGTTATGAATGTATATACATACATATATGCATACCTTCATACATACGTTATGAATGTATATACATACATATATGCATACCTTCATACATACGTTATGAATGTATATACATACATATATGCATACCTTCATACATACGTTATGAATGTATATACATACATATATGCATACCTTCATACATACGTTATGAATGTATTCATACATACATACACATATGCATACATTCATACATACATACATACATACATACACATATGCATACCTTCGTACATACGTTATGAATGTACTAATACATACATACACATATGCATACCTTCATACATACATTATCAATGTACTAATACATACATACACATATGCATACATATATACATACACATATGCATACATACATGCATACGTATACGTATATGCATATGTATACGTACATGTGTATGTAATAGTATAAAACACTGTTAGAGTACTTTACAAAAAACCTCCCTAAATTCCCCAAATCCCCCCAGTTAAAAACCAGTCTCCGTCAATTCAAACACTCATACATTTTCACGGTACGCGAAGTATGCGTAAAGTCGGCGACGCACGGTAGTTTACCCTCGACAATAAACGCTAACGATACTGTAGAATTGCAGTATTTTCCGAGTTGTAAAGCACGCAGTCCTCGAGTTTATAGAATAAAACAGGTAATCGTAGCTCGTTCTATGGCAATAAAATTTCCGTTCTATCATTGTGTTCACGATTAAGCAGTGCGAGACCATTCGTCATTTTTTCCCTCGACATCGCGTTCAATTTCTCGTTACGTACCGCACGCTCGAATAAATGCACCTTGTTCAACGTGCCGGCGAACAAACGTAGACCAGATGGAAGCTAATAAAAGAAAAAAAAAGTCCTGGCCCCTTCACGTTGGCGTGTCGCGAACGATAATAATCGTTGTATAATAGAGCCGCTTATAATATCATTGAGCCGCTTATCGCTCTACCAGATCGCACTGATTCGTGATACAATTTAGTTTCTAACGGGCAAATCGAAACGGACGTGTTTAACGAAATTGCATTTGCGGAACTTTCTTTTCCCTTATGTTATTCAATTCGAATCTGCGAAATAAATCTGTTACGTTATTTCGCTTAAGTGTTCGTGATTTCATCATAATTGTGATCGTACCTAACCTATGATTCTTTTGATAATACAGTCATAGCTACTAATTATTACTACAATGTTATAAATGAAAACAGTTGAAATGTTCATATTTTGCATTTGGCCTTTGGTGCAGATTGTTATCGGTATTGAACTCAAAGTTTTGTACAAATTTAGGTTTGTCACGTTTGAACTGCAAGGTGTGTTGAATTGTGTCGAAGTGGATTGTGCTGAATTGGATCATGAGTTGGAACGCGTGGAATTTAATTATGTTGAATTGGATTGCGAGGAGTTGGATTCGGTCGAGTTGGATTGCGTGAAATTTGATCGCGTTGAGTTGGATCGCGTGAAATTCGATTACGTGAAATTTGATCGCATCGAGTTGGAGCGCGTGAAATTCGATCGCATCGAGTTGGAACGCGTGAAATTCGATCGCGTCGAGTTGGAACGCGTGAAATTCGATCGCACCGAGTTGGAATGCGTGAAATTAGATCCCTCCGAGTTGGAACGCGTGAAATTCGATCGCGTGAAATTCGATCGCTCCGAGTTGGATCGCGTGAAATTTGATCGCATCGAGTTGGAGCGCGTGAAATTCGATCGCGTCGAGTTGGAACGCGTGAAATTCGATCGCTCCGAGTTGGATTGCGTAAAATTTGATCCTTTCGAGTTGGATCGCGTGAAATTCGATCCCTCCGAATTGGAACGCGTGAAATTCGATCCCTCCGAGTTGAATCACGTGAAATTCGATCCCTCCAAATCCGATCGCGTAAAATTCGATCTCTCCCTGTTGAATCGCGCAAAATTCTCTCGCACCAAGTTAGAACCCGTAGAATATAGTAGCATGGAATTGTATCACATCGAATTCTATCACTCCAAGTTGAACCCTGTGGAATTCAATCGCGCCAAGTTGAAATATTTCGAATTGAATCGCGTGGCATCCTAGCGCCAAGTTGGATTGCGTCGAGTTGTCTCGTGAAATTCGATCTCGTCAAATTGCATCGTGCAGAATTTAATCGCGCCAGATTGAATTTCCCCGAGTTAGATTGCACCCAGTCAAGTCCACTCACATCAAATTGCGATTTACATCTCTCCGAGTGCACCGCGTGAAATACCGTGCCAAATTTTCCCCAAATACCCCTCTCATATGGTTTCGAATTACACCGCAAACTCCGAATTGAATCCTATCGACTCACACCCGAAGTCCAAACCTTAGTACACTCAAATGTAGACCATACGGAGATTGAAAGCCTCAAAGTCTCTCTCGCAATTCACAAACTATCAATATACAGGCATAGGTAGATCGAAGGGTTGCAAACCGCAACCCTCGTTGCTCGAATCCCACGGACGAGTTAAACGAAGATCGCAAAGCTCGATAAGGGTGTTGTTGATCTTTGGAATGGATCACGCTCACGTACACAGGTCCGTTTGTGTGCGCAGCTTTTATTTATAGTTTATCGTTGCGAGCGGGCACGGGGTTGGCCGCGGAAGGCCGATAGGAAGGGACGCGAAGGTCGTTGATGAAAAGAGTTGGCTCGTAAATAGGGGAGGCAGCGATGTATCGAGATTTGAACTTTGCTCGTCGGCTCTTTTCATTATACCTCGTCGGATCGACGCATCGATTTTTAAATGAAACGCGTTCTAAACGGATGCTATCCACGCTTTTCGTTTTGCCATTTCCACTTTTCCTCGCGTCGCCGTTTCCAGAGATAGCCGGAAACCGATTTCCTGGCTACCGACACGTTTCACACGCTCCTGAATCTCGTTAAAACTTGTTTACGATCACTTGTTGTTTCAGTTTACGAGCTTTTACGCGAACTCGGCGGATATCTGCCCCCAAGGAGCATCGCGCCGGCGGACATCACGCCGCTGGTCTCGAGGCTGCTCAGAGTGAATGGAGCTCCTCTCTTCGACTTCTACGTGGATGTCGATCTTTACGATCGCTCCAGGTCCTCCGTGTTCCTCGATCTGCCTACCAAACACCAGGAGGACGCCTTCTTCGCGGAAAATCCGGTGAGCACTTTACTTGCAATACTCGTTTCCTTCGAATCACCATTTCTCATGTAGTTGCTTTTTTTTATGTTTTCTTTCTACTGAATCTTAAGTGCATTTAGTACATTTACAATCTCTTTAGTTACATCTATTTTAGTTATACTTCCATCTATAATTTCTTTGGTTATATCATTTGTAGATGTCCTGGTCTTTCACAGAAAAATGTGAGATCTGAGTGAGTGAACCCAGTAGAATATTTACATTTGCAGTACACTGAGTAGGATTTGAATTTGTCGTTAGACTATCGTAAGAATCTAGGGAATCAGCATCTGCAGCTGTGACAAAGTGAGTTTACGATATTAAATTTTTGTACCACGTTTGTAATCCAGAGCTGTAAACGAAGGTATGAAAAATGTGAACTTCAAGCAGGATTCGAACTCAGAGAATCCATTGAGCTTTTCCTCGTTCTTACCAGTACATTACTTACAATAAACTCCAAAGTCCCGAGATATTTTTACCATTCACCCCTATATTTTCTAGCTCAGCAGTAATTCCCCGCGCCTCGTAACGACAGTTTTATCAGTCGATCAAATAAATCTTGGAAATTACAAGAACCAAAATCGTGTTCACCGATTCGACGGAAAATTAACGAGCAGGATTTCCGCGTGTACATCCGTTATCGAGGCTCGAGGGACGAATACTTCTCGCTTGAGTATACCGGCTAATAGATAGGGCGTTTAAGCGGAGTTAATTCCTCAAGCAAACGTGCGGCGAGTTCCGGCGACGGTATAAATCCTGTCCGGTGGTTTAGGAGCATCCGTAAACTCGCTGCTCGCGAATGACTGCACACATTTTTGCGTTGCGACAGCTTGGCTCGGCCGACGAGGCAAAAACGTCTTCATTATTCATTCGCGTCGCTTAATTCCGGCTTTATCGACGATTTGCGAGCTTAAACCAGCGCACATGGTTCCAGGGATCGATAGGACGGTCAGATAGTTTAATGTATGACTTAATGGGCCCTTTTTAACTTATCTTAAGCGCTATTGAGTGCACGAGTTTGATCTGATTTGGTTGGGAAGCCGATTTAGGAATTCGATGCAAGTTCATTTGGCTTGGAATTTGAATTGATTCGGGGTGTTTCAATTTGATACATTAACTCGAAGAGATCCGATTCGAATCGGTACAAATTCGGTGTGATTCAATTCCAATGTGTTTGAATTCGACTCTTCTCTAATTCGAATCGATCCAATTTCGGCGCAAATTAATTCGACGCGATCCAATTCGAATCGATCCAATTTCAGAGCAAACTAATTCGACGCGATCCAATTCGAATTGATTCAAGTCGATTACGATTCGAATTAGCACGCGATTGAACTCTCGGCGTGATTCGAAACGATTGTGATTCAATTCGATGCAAGTTGTAACTCAATGCGAATCAAATTCGGTGCAAGTTAATTCGGTGTATTCCAATTCGACGCTGGTTTTGATTCGCTGCTATCCAAATTCGAATATTGACTCAAACTCGATCCTAATTCGCAAGTTATACCGAAAATTCAACTTCATAATTTGTACTCAATTATTTCTATCAAATTCAAATGCAAATACAACCCAAATAAATACGATTTATCCATGAAAAAATTCGACACCACCTATGGGGATTCGAACCCTGGCCCACGGAGTGACAGTCGCTGACGCTAACCACTAGTCCATCGCTGTACTAACAACTCTGTTCATAATTTTTTTTATTACTCTATATGCTTAACTATAATCTACAACTTCAACTGTAATCGTGAAAATTCAATATTTGTGTTCGCATAATTTAAACACGCAAGTATCACGAAATACAAATTTCCATAATTCTGGTATTAACTCTGCACGTTGCTAGAAACGTAACTCCAAAAGTTAAAATTCAATATTTAACGGGACAGTGTAAGTAGCTGTACTACGAAATGGAATTGTTATATTTGAAATTGTGGAGCACTTAATATAATTACATCCTGTTCCCTTGTATTACCAGTTGTATAACAGCCTGTAGATTCTGACTGGTGAAAAGTTGCCGGGAGGGAGCAGTTAAAGGATAAGGGAAATAATTAATGCCTGGCACGTTCTTCCTCTCGAAACACGGCGATACACGTAGCCAGAGATTCGAACCTCCATTGCTCTCGGCTGAAAAGTATCGCAAACTTTTGCGGCCACTTTCGAACTACCTGAGTTTTCCAGATATCGATCAATTTCGTGGCTCGAGTGAGCGAGCGGGGAAAAAGTCGTGGAGGTTAAAGTTTAATCCTTTGACTGCTACATACTGCAGCATACATATATTATTGATTTATTAATATGCAGCATAATATAGACGGTAGACGTTCGAGTATTAAAAACCTAAGGAGAGAATATTCCACGACGACCTCGATAGCTTTCGTTTAAAAATTCGAGATTCTAACTTTAGTCGATTCGTGGTAAGTCTGGGTCACGATTGACCTGGGTCATCGACGTTCAAAACTTTACGCTTCGATGGAGCTTTTGAATTTATATCGCTTGGCATTTTTCTGTTAATAATTTATTAGAGATTGCTGTGGATTCTTTATATTAATTCCAGGAAATATACTTGTGTTGCGAATATTATTTGGGTGTTCAAGTATTTTGGACAATTCGATTATTCGAATGTAGTTCGAATTCGAATAATTCGAGTAATTCAAATAATTCAAATAATTCAAATAATTCAAATAATTCAAATAATTCAAATAAGTCAAATAAGTCAAATAATTCAAATAATTCAAGTAATTCAAATAATTCAAATAATTCAAATAATACAAGTAATTCAAATAATTCAAATAATTCAAATAAGTCAAATAAGTCAAATAATTCAAATAATTCAAGTAATTCAAATAATTCAAATAATTCAAATAAGTCAAATAAGTCAAATAATTCAAATAATTCAAGTAAACAATTCAAACAATTCAAGAATTCAAGCAATTCAAACAATTCAAACAATTCAAGCAATTCAAACAATTCAAACAATTCAAACAATTCAAACAATTCAAACAATTCAAACAATTCGAGCAATTCAAACAATTCAAATAATTCAAATAATTCGAAGAATTCGAAAAATTCGAGTTCGAAATTATTCAAATATTCGAATTTCTAGTTTGAGTGAATTTTGAACACTTTTTATATCAACATGTATTCGAATAAATTTAAGTCCATGCAGTTTAACTCGAAAGTGCAATTGCAGCGAATTATGTCACTCGTCACATGACGCACTTGACGCACATGTCACACATAACGTACATGACTCTTACAACAAATCTAGCTCATATTTTCACCACAATTGCAGTCCAATTTTAATTCCAATCAAATGACCACCATATCCAAGATATTTAATATTCCTTAACATCATAATATCTGACTTGCCGACAAAGTAAATCTCAAAACTTATAAAATTGCACCGACTAGAAGCGTCCATTGAAAAGCTCGTTAAGCCAAAAATAAACAAGAATATTCTACAAAATTTAATTCCTGGTTGAAACTTTGAACGCGTCTGCCTTTAGAAGTGTAACCCCTTAAAAAGCTCGTTAAAGTGAAAATAAAAGCGGATATTCTACGGTAAAGAAATATTCTGAAAAAATTTCGTGCGTCGTAAGCTCGTTGCAGGTTCTTTAGAAGTCTATCCCCTTGAAAAGCCCGTGACGGATAAATACAGGGAGGAGGTAGCGAAAAAGCGCGCGAGATTCGAGGGACGAGAGGGAGGCTGGAAGAAACGCGACACCGACCAATTTCACGAGGAAATTTTCCACGGCGACGACGTTCTGACCGGAATCGGATTATCCACTGAATTTCGGATGCTAATTACAAGCTCGGGGAGAAATTGCTGCGAAGAAAGCTTATTGGCGTAGAACGATGCTTTTCATATTGGAGAGTAACTGATTGGGGGGTCGTTAAGTTTCTTGATGCGAGTTTAACCCTTTACACTTGAAGGTTTTTGCTGTTGGAGGGCGAGTTGACATTTTTTAGTTGAGAGGTTTTATAGATTTAAGGTGGGGAGTTTGGTGATTTGGGGGTTGGGAAATTTGAGGGTGTGGGTATTGGAAAATTTAAGGGTTTGGATATTGGGAAATTTTAGGGTGTGGATATTGGGAAATTTGAGGGTTTGGATGTTGGAAAATTTGAGGGTTTGGATATTGGGAAATTTGGGGATTTATGTGATGGAAAATTTGAGGGTTTGAACGTTGGGAAATTTGGGGATTTATGTGTTGGAAAATTTGAGGGTTTGGATATTGGGAAATTTGAGAGCTTGGATATTGGAAAATTTGAGGGTTTGGATGTTGGGAAATTTGAGAGCTTGGATATTGGAAAATTTGAGGGTTTGGATGTTGGGAAATTTGAGAGCTTGGATATTGGAAAATTTGAGGGTTTGGATGTTGGGAAATTTGAGAGCTTGGATATTGGAAAATTTGAGGGTTTGGATGTTGGGAAATTTGAGAGCTTGGATATTGGAAAATTTGAGGGTTTGGATGTTGGGAAATTTGAGAGCTTGGATATTGGAAAATTTGAGGGTTTGGATGTTGGGAAATTTGAGAGCTTGGATATTGGAAAATTTGAGGGTTTGGATGTTGGGAAATTTGAGAGCTTGGATATTGGAAAATTTGAGGGTTTGGATGTTGGGAAATTTGAGAGCTTGGATATTGGAAAATTTGAGGGTTTGGATGTTGGGAAATTTGAGAGCTTGGATATTGGAAAATTTGAGGGTTTGGATGTTGGGAAATTTGGGGATTATGCATTGGAAAATTTGAGGATTTGGATGCTGAGAAATTTGAGGATTTATATTCTGTAAATTTTGAGCGATTGATTGAGATCATTAAACTTCTCATCACAAGATATTTCCGCAACTTCAACCCTTTGCGCACAAAGGTATTTTTGCTACTGGCAACTTTAAACTTTTTACCTAAGAAAGTTCTTTTGAAGTCATTCTAATACTCTTACTATTGTCTCATTACATTTATACATCACATCTAAATTTATCTAAA